GGAGAGGGAGCCGCCCGGCCCAGCCCCGTGAGTGACCCGCGCCCGGCCCTGCTCGCGGCGGGGACGCCCGCCGGCTTCCGCCCGGTTGGGGCCCCGGGCTGCCTCCATTTTCTCGGGTAGCGACGGCGGCGGGTGAGGGAGCGGGCGCGACCCGGAGCCCTCGGCGCGGGACGCGCGGGGCCTGCTCCCCGCTCCCTAGCCCTGTGGCGCTGTGGGGCGGCCTGAGCCGCGAAGTGCGGGCCGCGCCGCTGTCACTCCCACCGCGCCTGGCGCTCTGGGCACCTCGCGCCCGGGCCCGGGGAGGCTCCCAGCTGTCGGGAGCCAGGGCCCACCTTTGTGGTCATCACTTGGGGCAGACACCTGACGGGTCCGTAGTTAGGGATTGTGCGGTCGGCGCGTTCCGGAGTTCGGTGGGAGCAGCCTGAGCGCTGCGTGCGTGCAGGCGCCGGAGCCGGTCCGCGCCGCTGTGACTCAAAGGTGAACCCGGCCCCGCGGTCCCTCCTCCCGGGAGCTTGCAGTTCCTCTGGTGTGGTAGATAAGACGAGTACACAAATAGCCACGATACCAGGAAGGAGGTGATAAGTCCTGTGAGCCACAGTGTGAGAGAGGTACCTGCGAAGGACCTGACCGGTCGATCGCTTCCGCCTTGGCAGAAACCTGGAAGACTTCCTGGGTGAGGCGGTGCCGCACGGGGTCCTAAAGGCCAGGTGGGATTTAGGCGAGGAGGCGGGTTGCCGAAGGGACGGTGGAGCACAGCTAGACGACCAAGGTACGTGCAGGGGCATAGCTTAGATATAGAGGACTCCGTTTATTGTCAAGAGCCATGATGGAATGGGATGGGCTTACAGAGGTATTTGGGGACCATATCCTTGGAGGCTGTAGAAGCAAACTCAGCGATGTTCTGAAGAAACCAAGAGCTGATTTCTCAGTGACTCCAGAGCCTGGAAATGTAGGCTAGGGTATATTGAAAGAAAGGAAAGTCGTTCCTGGTCAGTACTTCATATTTTGTTCTTTGCATGTATGTAGTTTGAAATCGATTTTGACAGCTTCCGGGATATGAGTAAATCCATGTCCAGGCCAAGCAAAGTACCTTTTGCAGAAAGCGTCACTAGACATTAGGCTCTTCAGAGGTAATGGGACGTTGTCTATAAAATAGCTCATCTTCACCCAAGGGCGTCTGTGTTTGTGAGTTCCCTAGAATGAATCAAAACTTCTTGTACAGTATGTTAGATGTCTACATTCTGGAATTGCTAAGCTGAACCTAAATTACTTGTTTGATGTGGCATTTGTGTTCATCTGAATTGAATTTTTAAATTACAGTTAATATTATTGGACAGAAAGTTGGGCATAGGCTTTTTCTAGAAAGATATAATCACGTATTAGTTTTTAGTTATGAAATCTTAAAGGATAGACAAAAGTGAAAGTTTTTAGCTCTCCTTTGTAGTTTTTTGAAATTAGTAGTAAGTAAGTAGTACTTATATTTGAAGTCTATGCTATTCGACCTGTGGAAGTAGCTTAGAATCTGTGTCGGCTTTATAAGCACTTAGATATTTGTGTGTGTATGACAAATGAATGCCAACTTTTTCCAGTTTTAAATCAGTGTAAAGTATGATCTTTGCAAAAGCTTAGAAAATACAGAAAGTGCTGGAGATTTTTAAAGAATGATCTTAATAGTACCATTTAGACTTGATTACTGTTAACATTTTTGCTGATTTCCTTACCAATCTTTTTGTGTGTATTTTCTTTACATGAAGAAAACATACTCTGTGTCTTTATACACATATATTTTTAAAGCATTTTTGCCATTAAATGTCTTTATAAAAGTTTTTAAATTTTACCCAAGCAAGGGAAACCTTTGTAAAGCTTTTGCTTTTTTTTTTTTTTCCTGAAAAAGTTACATCATTTACCTCATATGAAATGTAGTAACTGCCACTGTGGACAAAACTTTTTCTTCCTTGTTTTCTTTTCCTGGTCCTGGGGAGTAAACCCAGGGCCACATGTACTTGCTAGGCAAGTGCCCTGCCACTAAGGCATATCCTTAACCTGGATAGAACTTTATTTTTGTGCTGTTGATACAGAAACTCATCTTGTAGTCTAGGTTGCTGTTGCTCTCACTGTGACCTCTGAACTCTTCATCCTCCTGCCTCGACCTTGCAAGGGCTGGTATTACACATGTACACAACTTTTTAGAAAAAGCCTTTAGGCTTCTTGTTTGAAGAATATTTATTAACTTCTCTGTAAAATACTTTTTTTTTTTTTTAAATGGTGCAAACTTTGAACCCAGGGCCTTGTACATGCAAGCTCAGCGCTCTACCACTAAGCTACATCTCCACCTTTTTAAATTTTGAACCAGGTTCTCACTAACTTGCCCAAGTTGGCTTCCAACTTTCAATATTCCTGTCTCAGCCTTCTGAGGTTACAGATGTATGGCACTACACGGAGCATGAATAGTTCCAGGGGGGGGTTGGGTTTTGTTTTCCTTTTTAATTTTTCCTTTAATTATTTTTATTTTTTTTTATTTTTTATTTTTTTTTATTTTTGCAGAACCGGGGATTGAACTCAGGCCCTTGCGCTTGCCAGGGAAGCACTTATTCCACTGAGCCATCTCCCCGGCCCCATTAAATTTTACTTTAAAGAGAATAATAATGTTAGGCACAATACTATATTTCAAAAAATAAGACGATAGGAATTCAGTGGTTGAACAGTGGTTGCTATATTGCATACTGTTCTCTTCAAAGTAGTTTTAATTACACTGGTGTGCAGTGCCCCTGCCTACCCTCCACGCCTCAAAATAGTATCTAGAGCCTGATGTGGTGGTGTGTATGCTTGTAATCCCAGTACTCGGGAGGCTGAAACAGGAGGATCACTGAAAGTTCAAAGCCAGCCTGGTATACAAAGTGAGTTCAAGGCCAACCTGAACTGCTGTGAAATCCTCTCAAAAAGACAAAAAAAAAAAAAGAGGTAACACTTGTATGTATGCACCAAACACGGGAACACCCAACTATATAAGACAAATCTCAGTGGACATGAAAAATCTAATATCCAATACCACAATCTTAACAGGAAACCTTAACACCCTCTTATCCCCAAAATATAGGTCACTCAGACAAAAAAATTAGGAAAGAAGTAGCAGAACTGAACGAGAGCTTGGAACAAATGGACTTAGTGGACATATACGGAGTGTTCCACCCAACCACAGCTGAGTACACATTTTTTTCAGCTGCACATGGGTCATTTTCTAAAATAGACCACATACTAGTCCATTGGTCATGCTTAAGTATATGCAAGAAAACAGAAATTATCCCATGCATATTTTCTGACCATAGTGCAATGAAACTGGAAATAAATGACAAAAGAAACCAGAAAACCCCCCTAAACGCATGGAAATTAAACAACACCCTACTCAGCAATCAGTGGGTCACAGATGAAGTTAAACAAGAAATTGAACAGTATCTACAATTCAATGAAAATTCAAGCACAACTTACCGGAATTTATGGGATGCAATCAAAGCAGTCCTGAGAGGAAAATTTATAGCTACGAACTCACACATTAGGAAAACAGAACGGGAACGAATAAACACCCTAATGCTGCACCTCCAACATATAGAAAAAAACCAAAAAAAAAAAAAAAAACAAAAAAACCAAAAAAAAAAAAAAAAACAAAACCTCTACGCTAAGGCCACCTGTACAAGAACTCAGGCTGGATATATTTTCTAATTGGCATTTCCCTGACAAAATATAGAATTTGCTACAAAGGGATTTGCTACAATTATAAAGGGGACTTTTTGTATTTCAAAGCAGCTCTCTAGTTTATTAGTATTTTAGACCATAGGTCCTTGTATTAAATTAATTTGCTCTTTATGCTTTATAGTCTAATATATATTGGTAAGAATTCTGTTTCTAATAGCAAATAAAGTGAGGTGCTGTTAGACTGTAAATTTTCATAAAGTTAATATAAAAAGTAAGAGCCCAGATTAATAATGCAGTTTGGCTTTATAATTTGGCCCTGACTTGAAATTTGTTTGTATATTGCAGCATGTGTGTATGTTACATAGCATCTTTATTACTATGGAATATTGTTACAGGTTTTTCTTTCAGTTACCTTTTGTGAGATTAAAGACTTCTGTAGCTCCTGCCATACTTCTCCAAGAACCTTTATTTCAGGAGGTAGATCATTGCTTATTAACATTTTTGCTGTCTGCCATAAAAATACAGACACACATACGGACACAGTCAACCCATGCACTCTCCCACCCCTACCACACCACCTCCATCCTGCTCTCCAACAACAACAAAAAATAAATAAATAAAATCCAGTGTTAGGACAGAGTTTCATTTCAGATATTACCCTTTGGATACCTTTGTTTCTTTGCCATAGCTCATTTCAGTTAGGAGTTCGATTTTGTGGCTTTCCTTGGCTTTTATAGAAATAGGAGCATAGTAGTTGGATTAGTATGTATAATGGCAAAATTTTGGTTGATAAAATGTTACCATGAGATAAATTATGAAAAAGAAGATGAAATATCTATGAACTTGGAAGCTACATTTATTTACTTCACAAGTGTTATTTTACTTATTGAGACATAAAGATTTTGTATTGGTGTGAATATAGATGAAGTCTATAAAAGGACACAATTTAGTTGTCAGACTGTCTTTTGGAGAGAAGCTGAATATTGGAATCTTCCTTAATTAAAGAAGGAAGTGATCTGCGTGGAATTTCTGTGTGCTCTTAAGGGACTATAGAACTGTATCAGTCCACAATCTGAGAGAGAACATGATGAGACAAATACTTCCATAACCACCACTTATAGAATAGTTTGGTTGAGAAGTAAAATCATAAGTGTTCTGCTTTTGTTTCTCAGGCCTTCCACAGATCATAAGAAGAGTTACTGTTGTAGTGGATGGCAGAAGTTTAACTCACTGCCATCAGCTGTGTGTGTGTGCACGTGCCCCAGTGTTTCATTTTTTGTCTCATAGACGTTCCTAATCTCTCAGAGACTCCTAGTCTTGCTATGCTTTTAACTTTTCTTTCGAAATGAAAGGGGCAAAGGTAGGACAGCTTTGTGGTTTGTAGCAGGTGTGAAGTTAAGCCAGCCAGGAAGAGAGAATGGCACGTAGAGAATTACAAGAGGTCAGTCAAGTGTGAAGTGGCTGGGAAGGAGGGAGGAAAGCCTGCCTTGCCATTTATGTTGGCACATACCTATTTGTATGATCCTTAGTACATTGTGTCTAGTTCGAGATTTTGCTACTTACAGTATGGTGATTTACCTTGTAGGTTTCTGTTTGCTTGTTTATGTACATACACATCTTTATATGCATGTTGTGAAGGCAAAATCTAGTCTAGTTAGTGGCAGGTTAGTTTTATATGGTGATTATTCCTTAGGAGCATTATCCAGCTGATAAATTGTAGAGAACCAAGGAAATATGTTAATGCTGAAACCAACAGAACACTAATTTTGATAAAATGTTTGAGAAGCAAAATATATATTTTGTAGCTTGATCTTAATTAAGTTGCTACTTTATAACTTTTATGTAATGAATTATAGCTTGCTCAGTAGCTTGCTCAGGCTACTGTTAACATATTAGTCATTGTTCTCTCCCTCCACAGATTACCTGTCAGCTACATTTAGACATAAGGAAGAAATAGCATAAACAGGATTTTGTTTACATGCCTATAAGGCCCTCTCTTAGATGTTTGGAAGGACCTTGTTACTCCAGTGATTAAAAGCATAGGTGCAGCCAGACCCCCTGGGCTTGAACTACCCTCCT